TATCAGTAAACTTAAATATTTGAGTGGACTGCTTTTGATCAAACTCTAGGAAGCAATTAAACCACACACTGCAGATACTTGTCCAAAAGACATACTCAAGGATGGACAGCATTGCTCATAAAAGCAAAAAAGTTAGAAACAAATCAGATGTCCACGGGTAGTGGAATATTGAATAGAAAAATTGGTAATTATATGATGGGATGTTACACAGTCCTGTGTGTAAGTGACTATATCTGCATGCATCAACAATTTTAAAGAAATAAGTCCAAGAAAAATATGTATAATAGTCCATTAATATAAAGCTTGGATTCTGGGCCAACCCATAGTGTGGGGTTGAGGCGGCTAGATCCCACATAGCCAACTGCGCAATTTGAGTATTGGACCTGGTGACTTGAAAAGACTCACCAGATTTATACACGTGTGTGACTAAAATCCTGAAAGGAGAATGGCGGAGAAGGGATTGTGCCATCCCCCCTCAATGTTGCTTTCTCTTTTTCCTTCTCTCTCTCTTGCAAATGTACATGCCCTATAAAAATGAAAAAATAAAATTAGATAAAACTAAACAACAAATTGTTTAGAGAGAGATAAGCAAGTAGTTAAACTAAAAAAAGGCAAAAAGTGATTAACATGGGAGTCAGTACAGTATAGGAATTCCTTTGGAAGGAGGGAGGGGAATGTGACAAAACCCCATGCAGGGACTTCGTCAGACGTGGGTAATAGTAGATTTTAACCCAGATAGTAGGTACATGAGTGTTACTGTTTTAGATGACATTTGCATATTGTATGTTCACATGTGGTATATTTCAGTTAAATGTTAAACTACGTAGATTTTTTTAAAATTGGAATTGTGTACTGCTGTAATAAGCTGGAGGCCACTGAGAAGGCTCCCGGTTCATGTCCAAGGTTTACCAAAATGCATGCGATGCACCCACGATCCTGGCTGACTACAGGACTGGGGGAGGAGTGCAGCACGAGGACCCTGGAGAGGGTGGATGTCTCTTCCTTGTACACCCATGTAAACGAAATACATTTCAAAAAAAGTTGAAATAGTGAAGAAGGCTATAAAAATTATCTTTTAAAATATTTTAATGCTGTTATAAAAGTATAGTAAATATAATTGAGGAAAGTGAAAGACCTTATTGTCAATTTGTGAAAGGCATACCTATCTCCAATTTATGTGACATGTGTTTTGCAGGATTGCATCAGAATTAATGTCACTACATTGAGAGATGATGGGGAGGTATCTGAAGAACAGGTTTGTCTCCTTTTGATTGTTTTTAATAGTTCATTTAGCTAAGTGTTGTGCAGCCTATTTCATTTTTACTTACACATCTAATTTAGTTAGGTAATGTATTTTTGACATGAAGAGTTTGCCATCTTTTATAAACCTTTGGAATTAATGTATATGCTGCTTTATTTTAAGGTTGTTCTTAACATAACGTATGAGAGTGGACAGGTATATGTAAATGACTTACCTGTAAATAGTGGTGTAACCCGAATAAGCTGTCAAACTTTAATAGGTGAGTACTATTACTAAATTATTAATTTTCATAATTACTGTTTTTAATAATTCTAATAGTAAAACAATTCTTGATGTTGTCTTTACATTTTCAATTAATATACATGATTACTAGAGTATATATATACACTTATGTGTTTAAAACTTTTCTTTATATTGGTTATTCTTAGTATATTCATTTTTTTCTTTCATTGATGGAGGTGCATCTTTTTTCTTCTTTTTTTTTTTGATTAAGAATATCACCATTTATTTTTCTATAGGTAAGTTTTCTGAATCTTCAACATTTTCTGCTCAAAATTAAAAGAACAAAGCAATCTCAAAGTTTAGAACTGGATCACCTGGTCCTTTCTCTTCTTTTTTTTTTTAATTAAAGAATTATTTTATTTAACTTTATTTATTTCAATTTGACCAGAGGGGGACAGAGTGAGAGAGAGAGAAAGTGAAAAAGCAAACCACCAGATCCGGGATTTGAACCATGATCAGCCATGCGGGAATCCAGCGCCCCCAACCACCATGCCACCTGCCAGCCCCTGCCCTTTCTCTTCTTATCACCCCGCAGTTCAAAATGTTTGCATCTTTTAATGACCAGCATCCTCTTGGATCTGCAGTTCGGTTCAACACACTCAAGGCGTAGGACAATAATATTCTTTGTGGTTTTAGCCTTCTGGAAAATTGGCTTTGTCTGTCCACCATAGCCGCTCTGCTTCTGGTCGTAGCACCTCTTCGCCTGGGCATACAGGGAATCCTTGCCCTTCTTATAGTGGGTCACTTTGTGAGGCTGATGCTTGCCACATTTCTTATGGAAAGTCCTTAGAGTTTTAGGTACATTGACCATCTTGGCAGTTGAGCTGTCTTCATGTTGAGAACGAGAAGTCGACATCCACGACCCTTGCCTCGCACCGCTCGTGCCTCCTTTTTTTTTCTTCTTTTAATATTTATATTTTTCGGGACCAGCAGGGAGATGTGGTTGGTGGTTAAGGGACTGGACTCTCCCACATGGCTGACCACGGTTTGAGTCCTGGACCTGGTGGCTTGCTTTCTCACTTTTTCTCTTCCTTTTTCTGTGTGTCTCTCTCTCTAGTCAGACTAAAATAAATAAATAAATAATATATATATATTTTTTTTTTCTTTTTTTTCTTTCATAAGCAAGGAGTACCTTCAGTAGAGCCTTAACCACTCGTGTGATTTCTCCCAAGCGGACATCCTTGAGCACACCCAGTGTGTTTTAAGTTGACAAATGAGTCTGAACCAAGCCTCTCATGTGGCCCAGTGGGCAGTACTACCTTACTTTCTGTGCCATTGCAGCTTGGCTGGAACTGAATTTCTGATTTGTTGTTGTTGTTGTTGTTGTTGTTAAGGTTTTTGCCATTAGGGCATGAGAACTCACCCTGTAGGAGAGATGACCGTGCCACAGTTCCTTCTCCTCCTGAGATTTTGGGCATTCATGCACATGCGCCTGGCATGATTTTCACGCTGCCAGGTTAGGAACTCCAACTGCCGTCAGCCATGAGGGAGTACAACACCTTAACCACCTGCTGGCAGTAAATGTGATAGCAAGAATCAGAGTCTTGGAGGGTACTTAGAATAATTGTGAAAAATAGAGAAAAAATGAATTATTTGTCTGATTATCTATAATTGTTTTTATTTTTTCTACCTTTATTTTATAGAACATTTTTTCTTTTTAACCTCTTAAAATTACAAATTGTTGGGACCAGCAGTTGGCGTAATGGCTGCGTTGTCGAGTCCCGGACTTGGTGGCTTAAACTCATGCCAGGCATGTATGCGTGCGTGCCCAAGAGCCCCAGAGGAGAATGGAGGAGAAGGGTTTGTGGTGTGGCTACCCCACCAGGGGGTGATTTCTCACTTTCTGTCTCTCTGTTTCTGTCTTTCTGGCAAGCACATGCGCCCTATAGCAAAAACCTCTCCAAAAAAAAAATAAAATAAAATAAAAATTATTTAAAGATAGATATATATGTTACATTGGAATGTACCCTATTACTTGAATGTAATAAAGAATATGAGAAATATGTATAGGATTCTTATTACCTGTGGTTTTTCTTTTCTTTTTTTTATTGCCAGGAGAAATGTGTGCTCAGCAGAGAGAGAGAGAAAACACTCCCCAGAGGAGCATGATCATGCCATGGACCATGCCATGGTCCTTTTTTCTCCATTCCACTTAGATTTTGGGCTCATATACACATGGATATAGTGTTCTTTTCAAGCTGCTGTAGCCAGGATTTGAACCATAGTCAGCTATGTGAGATCTGGTTTCATACGGATGAGGCTTAACTGCTGTGTTATGGAGCTGCCCCTTCCTTACCAGTTTTCATTTTTTCTTTCTTTTTTTTTTTTTTTTTAAGATTTTGCTCTTTATTTTATTTTTTTAGTGTGCTATAGGGCACATGCATTAGCCAGAGAGAGAGAGAGAAGGTGAGAAATCACCCCCTTTGGGGGTGGGGAGTGGCCACGCCACAGTCACTTCTCTTCCATTCTCCTCTTGAGATTTTGGGCATACATGCACATGTCCGGTGTGTGTTTCAAGCCGCCATGTTTGGGACTCTACCCCACAAAGTCAATCGTGTGTGTCCAGTGCCTTAACCTCCACGCTACTTGCTGGCACAGTCTTTACTGGTTTTTATGTATGCATTTAAGGCAGTAAATTTCTCTTATACTCTGTACTTGATTTGTTATAACTTTTTTTTTTTGAGAGGTTTTTGCTATAGGGCACGTGCACTCGCCCAAAAGACAGAGAGACAGAAAGCGAGAAATCACCCTCCATGGGGGGATGACCATGCTGCAGTTCCTTCTCCTCCATTCTCCTCTCAGGATCTTGGGCATGCACGCACACGCACCCAGCATGAGTTTACACCACTGGGTCCGGGACTCAAACCGTGGTTGACTACATGGGAGTCCAGCGACATAGCCATTATGCCAACTGCTGGTCCCATAATAACTTTTAATTATGTTCAGATCAAAGTGTTTTCTAATTTATTGTACTATTTCCTTATCTTATGGGTTATTTAAAAATATATTGTTTAGAGGGACCAGCAGTTAGCGTAATGGCTATGTTGCTGGACTCCCATGTAGTCGACCGCGGTTCGTGTCCCGGACTCGGTGGCTTTAAACTCACGCCGGCCGCATGTGCGTGTGTGCCCAAGATCCTGAGAGGAGAATGGAAGAGAAGGGACTGTAGCGTGGCCATCCCTCCTGGGGGGGGCTTTCTTGCTTTCTGTCTCTCTGTCTGTCTCTGTCTGTCTGGTGAGCACATTCACCCTATAGCAAAAACCTCTCAAAAGAAAAAAGTATATTGTTTAATTTTCATCACACCATCTATGTGTGTGTGTGTGTATGTGTGTGTGTGTGTGTGTGTGTGTGTGTGTGTGTGTGTAACTGATGCCACCTCTGTCATCAGAGATACGCTCTTTATAGGGGCCAGCAGTATAGCTTAGTGATTAAGGGAGCCAGATCCCACAAGGCTAACCACAATTAGAGTTCCCACCCCAACTCTGAGTTACTTTTTATTTCAAAGCTCTCCTCTGCCTGGTTAGTTTGGTTTTACATTATTTTACTTTTTTTTTTCGTAATTTTTCTGCCATAGGGGGCATGCACTTACTGGAGAGAGACAGTGAGAGGGAAAGTGAGAAATCAATCCCCAGGGGGTATGACCACACCACAATCCCCTCTCTTCCATTCTCTCAAGACTCTAGGCATGTATGCACACACATGTGTGATTTGTAAGCCACCAGGTCCTGGACTCAAACCACAGTCGGCCATGTGGGAGTTCAGCACCTTAACCACTATACTACCTGCTGGCCTTGTTTTACTATTCTTTTAATGGTCACCCTTGTAATTAATACATTAGTTTGTTTTTTGCTTTGTAATTTTACTATACAGCATGTAGCATGTTCACTCGCTAGAGAGACAGAGAGAAAGTGAGTAAGCATACCCCAGGGCGGATGGCCGTATGAGAGTCACCTCTCAGGATTTTGGGCATGCACACATAAATGCCAAGTGCTTTTGTCAAGCCACAGAGTCTGGGACTCAAACTCACAGTTAGCTATGTGGGATCCAGCCACCTTAACTACCACACCACCCAGCTGGTCCCAAGTTAGTATTTTTTCACTTTGCAAACAATGTAAGAACTTTAAGACACCTAAATTTGATTTATTACCTTTCTGCTTTTGTGTTACACATTTTAACTCTTGGTGTTCTTTTTGTTTGTTTGTTTGCTTTTGAGAGGCTTTTATGTTGTAGGGCATATGTGCTTGCCAAAGTGACAGAGACAGAAAGTGAGAAATCACACCCCCCACCCCAGGGGTATGGCCATGTTGCAGTCCCTTCTCCTCCATTCTCCTCTTGGGATTCTGGGTACACAGCACGTGCCTGGTATGAGTTTCAAGCCACCGGTTCTGGAACTCAAGCCGTCTTTGACTACATGAGAGTCCAGCAATGTAACCATTATGCCATCTGCTGGTCCCTAACTTGGTATTCTTAAACTCCATGCAATAAAATTTTTTACTATTTTTTTAAAAAATAATTACTCATTTATATTTATTATTATTTTTTAAGGTATGCTATAAGGCACATGTATTCACCAGAGGGAGACACAGAGAGAGAGAAAGAGAGGGAACATGAGAAAGCAAGCCTCTAGGTCTGGAATTGGAACCATGGCTGTCCATTGCCTCAATCCGCACACCACCTGCTGGCCCGTAATATAATTATTCTTATTGTTTTACGTAGTCCAATGTTTATTTTTGTTTACTCTCATAATTATTCTTTCTATTGCTTTTCATTCCTTCCTCAGTGTCTGTGCTCCCTCTGGATTCATTTCTTTCTGCTTAAAGAAGTCCCTTCAGAATTTTAGTTACAAGTTTGTTAGCAATGAATTATTTGAGTTTTTGTTTGTTTGAAAATATCCTTTTCATTTTAAAAAGAATGTTTTTGCTGGACATGGACGCATAAGATAGTATTTCTGTTTTAGCACTTAAACTTCATGTTTAAGCCAGTTACGTGAGACTGCCAAAGACTCTGTTTAGCCTTCTCTGCCACAGTCATTGCTTTCCAGTCAGCTGGTCACCTTTCCATCTGTTCTTGGAAACTGGCAAATGCCCATAAGGGAAGGTAGCATAGGATCTATACCTACCCCAGTAAGCGGTTCTTCCTACCTCAAGCACTTGCTCGCTCATTAGCTCTCATGCATCTAGACAGATGTGGCTTTTGAGTATTGTTGTGGGTATGTATTTTTTACACCTCATCTGGTGGTACCTTGAAAGAGTTAGTGCTACAAGCTTATCCATCATAGTTAGGAGAACAAGTGCTAGTAGTGACTTATAATAATTCCTTTGATGACTTCACTGGGAATTTGACTTAGAATGCAGGCTACCTGCTCTATTCGTTATAGCTATCTTGCCAGTCATCCACTTGTTGATTTGATAGCTGAAGTAAATGGTCATCTTACCTAGTAGGACAAGAATCTTCATATCATTAAATGCAGCAGCAACAGTAGCACATCTTTAATTCCTTTAAAAAAATGTATTCTTTGGGTACTGACCCATGAGTTATTTATTGCTGTGTGACAGTTTAACGCAAAACTCAGTGGCCAGAGTCAGTATTTATTATTTCATAGTTCTGTATCAAGAATCTGAGGTGGGCTTAATTGGGTCTTCTAGCTCTGAGTCATTTGCTCTCAGAAGGCCACCATCATGGCAAGGCTCAGCTGGAGAAGATTTGCTCCCTGGCTCATCCATCTGGTTTTTGGCAGGATCCAGTTCCTTGTGAAGTGTTGTGTGGAGGCCTCATTCCTCACAAGATATTGACTAAAGGCTTCCTTCAGTTTCTTGCCACATGACTCCCTTACAGAATATCTCACAACAGACAGCTGCCTTCATCAGTGAGAGAACAGGTCTGGCAGCAAGAGAATGAAGTCAGCAAGACGGAAGTCACAGCCTCTCATGATCTCATCATGGAAGTGATGTTCCATCCCTGTGCTATGCTCTATTACAGACAGGTCACTAGGTCAGGTCTGCACCCGGGGAGGGAATTACACAGGGTATGAATCTTGGAGGCAATGATCATTTAGGGTTATTTTTGAAGGCTGTCTACCACAGTAAGGAAGCCAGAATGTGTAAGGCTTTAGTTGGTTTTAATTTAATTTGATTCTGCAGAAGGGTACCAGCTTAGGAATTTGAAGAGTCACCACTTTGATATATTGATAGGACTAGATTTTCTGCTCGTTAAGTTTCTTGTGCCCAATTCTTTAAGCATGGAAACATGCCCTCTTGAGGGAGATCAGTGGGTACACTCAGTTAAAACACTTAGGCTGGGCTAGCCCTGTAGCCTGGTGGTTAAGGGAGCTGGAGTCTTTTTCCTTTTTTTTTTTTAAGTATTATTTTATTTAACGTTTTATTTATTTATTTATTCATTTTAAACTTGATCAGAGAGGGACAGAGTGAGACAGAGAGAGGGAAAGTGAGAAAGCAAGCCACAAGGTCAGGGACTGGAATCGCGGTCAGCCATGTGGGAGTCCAGCGTCCTTAACCAACACACCACCTGCCGGCCCCATGAGCAAAGAGTCTTAAGTAATCAGAACTGTATTAGTATTATTGTGAGATTAATCTAGCACTATGTGTGAATGGTTTGGAGGAGCAAGAATAAAGATGAGGAAAATGAATATTACTCTAGTACTGATTAATGAGCTAAATATTGGGATCTTGCAGACAAAGGAATAGCCCTATAAAGGCACAGAGTCTGCTTAAACAACCGAGTATGTATTCAGAATGTACACATGGGTTCTGCTGGCCAAATAATCTTTAGATTATTTAAGAGACTGAAACTAGATGCTCCTTTTATGGCAGCTTTCTTGGTGTGTTTTTCTTTATCTTTTTCCTTCTTCTTTTTACATCTATTCCATATGGGAGAGACAGAGAGTACCCTCAATAGGGTCTCATGATCCTCCCCAGCATTTCCAAGCAACTATGACCACAAATGTGCATGTGCCTGCCGGGCACAGGTAGACCCAGGGACCCAACTCCTGTCTTCCCCATGGCTGCTTGCGCTAGTGCTGTGCTACTGCAGCTTGTGGGCTGCCTTATCTTCTCCTTCCTCTTCTGCTTCTAAGTTTTTATTTATTCTGTATTAATGATAGAGAGTGCATGTGCACACATGAGAAAGATGAAAGGAAAGCACCTTCACAGGGTCTTATCACTCCTCAGTCCTCTTCCAGTACGCCCAATAGCTGGTTCTGCTGCATTGATTGTTACTAGGGAGAAACTGCAGGCCTCTCTTATGTCCCCATTCCTGCCCACTGCAGCAGTGACAAGGCACTTAATAGGGAAAGAAAAAACTGAATGTCCTTACTGCTTGGGGCCTTTCAGTCATTGGATTTGGTGACTGAAGGAATGAATGCTCTTAATTGCCAAAACATGGGATTGACTGCATCTTCTGGCCCGTTTTACTAATAGTTATGCCATGTTGGCTTCTCACTGACAATCTGTGTAAAAGAATAGGAAAGATGCTGCTAGTTGTATTTCATACAAAATGTGGTCTAAAGACCATCAAACATTTTACTCTTGAGTTTAAGGACTTGTAAGGATTTGTCAAGTTGTCTTTGTTGTTAGAAATCTGAAATAGCATTAAGGTCAGAAATGAAGAAACCCAAAGAAATTGACTTTTAGCTGTCTCATTCCATATAAACATCATCAGAGTAATCAAATTCGGTAAGATTTGGTGGCAGTTTTGTTCAAAGCTGTCCCTAACTTTTTTTTTTATAGTGAAGGGTGAAAATCTGGGAAACTTGGAAGAAAAAGAATATTTTGGAATTGTCGGTGTAAGAATTTTAGTTCATGAGTGGCCTATGACATCTGGTTCCAGTTTGCAGCTAATCGTCATTCAAGAAGAGGTGGTCGAGATTGATGGGAAACAAGTAAGAGCTGTGTTGACTAGCTGGGCATTAATTATGAAAGTGTCAATTTGTGCTAGGTATTGTGCAGATATTTTATTACTGTGTTGCTAGGGAAGAAGGCACCCTAATGCTGCTTATATCCAATAATTTTTGTTTACCTGTTTTAGCAGTCGGGGAATTAATTGTTTTACATCTCTCATTTTGCTGTATGTTGATATCATTTATTTATTTTTTTGGAGAGGTTTTTGCTATAGGGCACGTGTGCTCGCCAGACAGACAGAGAGAGACATAGAGACAGAAAGCGAGAAATCACCTCCCAGGGGGGATGGCCATGCCACAATCCCTTCTTCGTTCTCCTCTCGGGATCTTGGGCACATACGCACACGCACCCAGCATGAGTTTTAAGCCACCGGGTCCAGGACAAACTGCAGTGGACTACGTGGGAGTCCAGTGACATAGCCATTATGCTAACTGCTGGTCCCCGTATGTTGATATCATGTAGAAATGTTAGGAACATCATTGAACAGTTCTACCATTTCCTCTAAATCTCTGTGTAAGTGAAATGGAACTGGGATTTAGTTTATAATAGGGTATGTAAAGTATGTAGTATGATTAAGGGTGAAAATTAAGTGCTCCAGAGTGGTGGTGGGGGCACTAAAGAGTAATTTTTGAAACAGGACAAATTTTTCAGTTACAGAAATCAGGGAGGAGAATTCACTTTTAAATTCTTACAGGACTATACTATTTAAAAATTTTAAAACTAATTATTTTCTTCTATCATAGGTGCAACAAAAGGATGTTACTGAGCTTGATATTTTAGTTAAGAATCAAGGAATACTCAGACATTCAAACTACACCCTTCCTTTGGAAGAAAGTATGCTGTACTCTATTTCTAGAGACAATGACATTCTATTTACTCTTCCCAACCTCTCCAAAAAAGGTAATTTAAAGACTATTTAAAGTCTTAAGGAAATTTCCTTATATGAGGGACCTTCAAAAGTCCATAGAAAATAGATATTATTGAGGCCAGTGGGTGGAGTGGTAGTTAAGGGTGCTGGACTCCTATGTGGCCAACCGTGGTTCGAGTCCCAAACGTGGTGTCTTTCTTTGTCACTTCCACTTTTTTTCTCTCTCTCTCTGCCTCTCTCTGGTCCCATTGACAAATTAAAGTAAGTAAATAAATAAAGTTAAATAAAATAATTTTTTAAAAAAGAAAATAGGTATTATGAAAATACTGCTTGATTTCAATTTTTTGGTGCCAAAGTAAATTTATACTTTAATTGCAATTTTTTTACTCTATTTGTACAAACTACTGTATATAACTTTATTGAAAATGAGCTGCTGCCTTGTGTGTGTGTGGGTATGTAAGTGTGTGTGTAGGTTTTTGTCATAGGGTGCATGTGCTTGCTGGACAGAGACAGAGGAACAGTAAGAAATCACCCCATGGTGGGTGGCCATCCTGCAATCCCTTCTCCTCCATTCTCCTCTTTGGATTTTTTCTCCATTCTCTTCTTTGGATTTTGGGCATGCTTGTACATGCTATGTGATTTTCAAGCTATTAGGTCTAGAACTAGAAGTGTTGTTTGCTATGTGGGAGTCGAGCCCATTAACCACCATGCTACCTACTAGCCTCCAAAAGAGCTTCTTTTATAAAGAAGCCTGACTCTGGGACCTGCAGTTGGTGTAATGGATATGTTGCTGGACTCCCATGTAGTTGACCATGGTTCGAGTCCTGGACCTGGTGCTTAAACTCACAGCAGGGGTGTGTGTGTGCATGCCCAAGATCCCAAGAGGAGAATGGAGAAGAAGGGATTGCAGAGTGGCCAGCCCCCTGGTGGGTGATTTCTTGCTTTTTGTCTCTCTGGCGAGCGCATGCATCCTATAGCAAAAAGCTCTCCAAAAAAAAAAGAAGCCTGACTACATGGCACCGTGGTAATATGCTGCTCATGAAAAGCTGGATGTCTCATGGCAACTACAGTTTGAATCCCTGGCCCAATCAGCCCAAAGCCTGTCAGCTATGTGCATGAGTGCCTGAGATCTGATGAGCTAGAGGAAGAGGATCGCAGCGTGACCACACCCCGTGGCGGGTGCTTGTCTCGCTCTCTCACTTTGGCATGTATATACACGTGCTCTATTATAAGTAAAGAAAAAAGGTGGTTTTTAATTGCCAAAGAGCGTGTGCACTTACCAGACCCAGACAACAGAGGAAGAGAGGACCCCTACAGGGACAGTTACAGTGCAGTCCCTTCTCCATCTCCCTCCTGTTGGGAAGTTGCGAATGCAGTTGCATGTGCCTGATGTGTTAAGCCACTGTGGCCAGTATTCAAACTGTGGTTGGCCATGTGGGTTCTGGTTTCCTTAACCATTAGGCTATAGGACTGGCCTCAAGAAAAACATTTTTTAAAAATGTTTATAGCACATTATTTTGTGTTTCCTCTGGAATCGATTTTGAGCCTTAGTGGTATGGGATCAGTGCTGGTTGCATAGCACTGTTTTCCAGCAGTTGTCTACGCTTACTCTTGAGTATTTATCACAGGATATGTAATAAAAATATTGTAAAGGTTTATTTAGAGGAAGAAGTATCTATTTTTCCACTGAAACTAGAACTTTTTGAAGTTTAACTTCTGTGTGACAAAGGTATAATTGCTATAGCCCCTTCTAACTATCTGTTTGTATTGCCCTTCTGGCTGTTAAATCAGTGAACAATCAAGCATGTTTATTTTTCTCCATGGTAAATGTATGTTCTTGCTGTCTGAAATGTTATTGGTGTAGTAACTTAGGGCCCGAGCACGCTGCTAGCATTTTGGTAACTTTGCTCTTCCTCCTGTGTAGAAAGTGTTAGTTCTAGTTCCCTGCAGACCACCAGCCAGTACCTCATCAGGAATGTGGAAACCACTGTAGATGAGGACGCCCTACCTGGCAAATTACCTGAAACTCCTCTCAGGGCAGAACCTCCATCTTCATATAAGGTACATCGGGTATTTGGCGTTTCCTACGCATTCATGGTTATGGTAAAGAAAACAGAGTCTTGGGACCAGCAGTTAGCGTAATGGCTATGTCGCCAGACTCCCATGTAGCCAACCGCGGTTCAAGTCCCTAGCATTTAATATAAGGTGGGAACCATGAAGAGTGGAACTATGGAACATTGTTAATAATGGTCTCGTGGTTTTAATGTGATATTTTAGTATTCGTGTTTTCTTTTCCTTGTTTCATTTAATAATAGTACAATCAGATCATGATTATCAAGACACTTGATTTCATTTTTTTAAGAATTTTCAGGTCCACAATTCTTTCTCGTATTCCCATCTCTTTGTTTATTCTGCAACTTCATGTGCATTTTGTTCTCAGGATCTTGTACAGTGATTGATTGCAGGTGGTTCAAAGTATGCTTTTTGGAGTCAGTCACTTACTAGTTGTGTGATCTGGGACACACTTACTTCTCTATCCTGTTTGTTTACCTGTGCAGTGGATCACACACTTAGTCTGCCAAGTAGTGCAAAGCGGTGCCTCTTGACGTCGTGTCAGGATGGAACGGGTATTACACATACATACGCATCGGCACCTAGCTGTCAGTGTTACCCACAATGTTTACCTTGCTGACTGGGAAGACATTCGTGGTTCGGAGAATATCCTGATAACTACGCGTCATGTAGGCTCCTTCCCCGAATAATTTCTGTTTAGGCGAGAAGAGTCTTTTTGGGTTGCTGGAGATAACCAGGTCACTTTAACAATCTGGATTGAGCCCCTTCACCATGTCTACCCACTTCTGTCAGCAGATCAGCCACGGAACAGCCTGTCTTCACAGCCTGTGCCCTCAGTGTCTACCTTAGGTTCTTCTTTCCTAGTTAGAGAACGTGTTTTGTATGCAGTGAAACACCCCCCATCTGTTCTAAAGCCTCTAATAAGTTTGTCCTTCTTTTCTTTCTCTTGTCCTTCAGCTATTAGAATTAGCAGTTAAATGGACCAGTTGACTCTGGTCCATTTTGTTTAGAGGTGACTAGCCTACCTAATCTCTTATCATTTAGCAATTATTTTCACTTGACTTATCGTTAAACAACAATATAAATAACAGAAAGATATGAACATTTCTGTGCCTGTATCGTTTATAAATAAAACATAATTTTTAAAATTGTAAATAACTTTATGAGGGTACATTTAAAAATGAAATGCACCTGTTTAAAATATACAGTGAGGGGGCCATTAGGTGATGTGGCGGTTAAGGGTGCTGGACTTCCACATGGCAGACTGTGGTTTGAGTCCTAGACCTGGCACCTTGCTTTCTTACTGTCGCTCTCTCTCTCACTCTGCCCCTCTCTGGTCAAATTAAAATAAATAAATAAATAAATAAATAAATAAACAAATTAAGTTAAATAAAATAATCATTTAAAAAGTGAAATAGTGAGTTTGACATATATAGACCTCTATGTAACCATCATCAAAGTAAAAATACAGAATATTTCTATTACCTCAAAGCTAAAATATTGACATATTTAAAGTTTACTCTTGGAGGTCAGCGAATCATGCTAGTCTAATCAAAACTCTTTTACCTAATCAAAACTCTTTTACAGGTGAGGTGTCAGTGGATGGAAAAGTTCAGAAAAGATCTGTGTAGGTTCTGGAGCAGTATTTTCCCAGTATGTTTTATGTTTTTGAAAGTCGTGGTGGTTGGAATTACAGGAGCAGCTGTGATAATAACCATCTTAAAGGTGCTTGTCCCAGTTTCTCAATACAAGTAAGTATTTCTTATTTTTGAAATGTTTGTATTTTTAATGACTAAAAAATGAGTTGTAAGTTATATTTACTTTATTTGAATAAAAAATGTAAAACATTAGGAAAGATGAGGCAAGTGGGAGGGAAAATAATGTCTGCTTTTTTTCTAGCTCGTCTTCCAACTTAGCAAAAGTAAAACGTGAATATCTTTTGTGATCAAGATACTTTTAGAGACTCACATGTAGACAAGACAGACTACTCTCTACAAACTTAAAATCTAACAAGGAAAGAAAGGAAGCAAGTATGTGAAGTGGGAAATGTAACATGTACAATCAGAGAGAGACAAAGCAGGACAATTTCACTGTGTATTTTCTACCCCACGGTATCAGTTTAAAATGGGTTCAGTTTCAGGAAACCAGCAAGATACTCATTCATTACAGTGTTGTTTATCATAGAGAACAAAAATAAAACAAGAACCCTCTTAACTGTTTATCAGTGAGGGCTTGGCTAAATACGGGCATGAACGTGCAAAGTATAAAATACATTAGGTAAAGGACACAAGATGCAGATTAGTATGATTGCATTTGAATAAAACAAAAGCATTATGTGCATTATAGGTGTGTAAATGCATACAAAATTTCTGGAATGAGAAAATAAGTTATCTCTTAATAACTGAGAATAAGGAGGGCAGAAGAGACATTTTTAATTTTCTTATGTATTTGACTTTCTTGTTGTTTTTCTTCTACTATTATTTTGTTATGGGGTCCTCTGCAGGAGACAATGCAATAAGCAATTAAAAAGCAAAACTGCAATATACTTTATCAGTGCTGTTATACTCAGCATACGTCCTGGTATTTTTTTTTTTTTTTTGGAGAGATTTTCACTGTAGGGCGCGTGCGCTTGCCAGACAGACAGAGAGAGACATAGAGACAGAAAGCGAGAAATCACCCCCCAGGGGGGATGGTCACGCCGCAGTCCCTTCTCCTCCATTCTCCTCTCGGGATCTTGGGCACGCACGCACACGTGCCCGGCGTGAGTTTTAAGCCACCGGGTCCGGGACACGAACCGCGGTCGACTACATGGGAGGGCAGCGACATAGCCATTACGCTAACTGCTGGTTCCCACGTCCTGGAATTAAAAGACTTAATACAGGGCTTGGCAGGTGGCCTGGTGGTTAAGGATGCTGGATACCCACATGGCCAACCGTGGTTCAAGTCCCAGTCCTGGCAGCTGGCTTTCTCACTTTCTCTCTCTCTCTGTCTCTCTTTCTCTGTTCTTCTCTGGTCAAATTAAAATAAATAAATAAATAAAGCTTTTTAATGTTATTTTTTAAAATACTTCTTTTAATTATTTAATTTTATTTATTCATTCGTTTATTTTAATTTGACCAGAGAGAGAGAAAGGAAAAGTGAGAAAGCAAGCCATCAGGTCCGGGACTGGGAACCATGGTCGACCATGTGGAAGTGTCCAGTGCCACCTGCTGGTCCCACCATGCCACCTGCTGGTCCCCAGATAAAGCTTTTTTTAAAAAGTTTTAAAAAAAACTTAATACAGAACTGTAGACAGTGATGAAATGGAAGTGAGCTTCACATCTCTGCTCTTCAGTTCTTATTCTTGTACCTAGAGTAACATCGGCAGCTATTCGAGTGGGCATCTTTCATCCGAGTCCTCTGTGTTGATGTACATGTATACTAGATAATCATAATCGTTTACTGACCTAAATTTTTAATCATTCTGCAGAATTACATTTTCACCTAAGACAGAGGCTCCCAAATTTTCTTGGTTCACAGCATCATTAGTTGCATTTTTGAAAAAAAAAAAAATGACCAGAGGGCCATGTGTGCTTGCCCTCCATTAATGAGAGAATGAGGGACTGAATGGAGGTGAGCACACTGCAGTCACTTCTCCTTTTCCCTTTGGGCAGGTACGCACACATACTGGGTGTGTTTTTCAGGTCATGTGGCTGTTCGGCCCTGTGGGATCTAGCTCTTTTAATCACTAGGCCATGGGGCTGGCCTAATTTCTTTTTGATGTCCCCACCTAGACCAAAACAAAATTCAAGGGCTTTTTTTCTTTTAGGTTTTTGCCATAGAGCATGTGTGCATGCCATAGAGATGCAGAGAGAGGAAAGTGAAAAATCACCCCCAGGGGGAGTGGCCACGTCACAATCCCTTCTCCTCCACTCTCCTCTCAAGGTTTTGGGCACACACGCACACGTGCTTGGCATGATTTTCAAGCCACTAGGTCTGGGACTTGAACCACAGTTGGCTATATGGGAGTCCATGCCCCAACCATCATGTTTTCTGCTGGTCCCAAAGAAAAGTATTTTTATTTTAGTCTTTTTTATCTTTATTTTATTTATTTATTTATTAATGGTCAGAGTATATGTACAGTTGCCAGAGAGAAAGACAAAGAGAAAGCACCCTCCCTAAGGTGTACTCACACTGTAATCCTTCCTTCTCGGTTTCTCCACCAGCCCAGCATGTTTTCAAGCCACCAGAGCTGGGATGGAACCCGGGTTAGCCACATAGGATCTGGCTCTCTTAGTCAGTCCTTCAGCTATTGGCCGACCTTGTTTCATTCTTTAATGATTTACTAATAGGGTGTTTAAATTTATAGGATACTACACAAAACTTGGAATCAGTTTCTCTCATTTCTTGTTCAACATTAGCTTTGTATTGTATTTGCTTTTCATCGTAGTAACCACCAGATCCCAGCTTTGCAAAGATACGACTTCATTGAAAGGAATGTAGTACAATCCAATGTTGAAACTATAAATTATCCTCAACCTAGTATTACACATGAAATCTCTTGAAAATTGAAAATGTTCTCTGGTGCCAATGTCTAGGGCCATAAAATCTTTTCCTATTGATATGTGTATATAAGCTCACCTACTCCCCCCTTGCCCCATAGTTAGCTTTTGAAGGAAAAAAATTGCAACTTTTATTTTAAAATAATTTTAAATAGACAAATCACGATCATATATATCTTAAGTGCGCGTGCACTCACCAGAAAGACAGAGAGAGACAGAGAGATAGAAAGCGAGAAATCACCCCCCCAGGGGGGATGGTCATGCCGCAATCCCTTCTCCTCCATTCTCCTCTCGGGATCTTGGGCACACACGCATATGCACTTGGCCTGAGTTTAAGCCAGATGGTCTGGGACTCGAACCTCAGTCAACCACATGGGAGTTCAGCAACATAGCCATTACGCTAACTGCTGCTCCCTTACTTACTCTTTTTATGGCTGGATAGTTCCGAAGGAGATAGGAAAAGTCATTTTCCTGCTCTTACATTTCATGCATGGGGTTTCTCTCTACCAACAACCAGTTCTCTCATGGATTCCAGGTGGGTGTCCTCTGATTCATTTCAGTCCTGACATTGGCTGCCTAGAGATAGCATCGATCCCACAAGTTAGTCCCAGTCCTACAGGACTTCCCTGTCTCCCCTGTTACATGCCAGTTGCAAGCCCCAGGTTATGACCCGTGCCTCTGCCTATAAATTGGATTCCCATGACTCCCTCCCTGCTTTCTACAAATTTGCCAGGACCACTCACAGAACTCAGGGAAACACATCTATTGGTTTATTACAAAGGACATTTCAAAATACACAGCTGAGCAGCCAAGTAGAAGAGATGCATGAGGGCATGATACGGGGAGAGGGAAGAGGTGCGCAGTCTCTTCCTGCTCAGACATGCCACTCTGCAGGCACCTCCATGCATTCAGCTATCTGGAAGCTCTCTGCACCCAGTCCTCCTGGGTTTTAATGGAGGCCTTGTTACTTAGGCATGATTAAGTCAACCAGCCCCTATTCAGAGACTCTTCTGGAGCCCCTTCCACCACCAGTCATTCGTTACCATGCAAAAGACACCTGTCTCTCCAGATTTAAGGATTTTAGGGGGACTAGTAGTTGGTGTAAGGGCTATGTTGCTGGACTCTCATGTAGTCAACTGCGGTTCAAATCCTGGACCCGATGGCTTAAACTCACGGCTGGGTGCATGTGCGTTCGTGCCCAAGGTCCGAAGAGAAGAATGGAAGAGAAGGGATTGTGGCATGACCATCTCCCCCTGCAGGGTGATTTCTCACTTTCTGTCTCTCTCTCTCTCTCTTTCTGGTGAGCATACACACCCTATAGCAAAAACCTCTCAAAAAAAAAAAAAAAGGGTTTTAGGTACTGCGTGCCAGGAAACCTGATGTAGAAAATACACAAGGAGATTTTTTTAAAGTTTGGAAGAATGGAACTAAGATATAAGTTTATTTTTAGTGCAAAAATATTTGAAATCCATGCGTGGTTTTGTGGTAATACACATTTTTCTATGAAGTTCTTAAATACCCTACTTAGATATAAATTATAGTATCATAATAGCATTTTACAGTATGGATATGCCATAATAGAATCATCCCTCTATTAGATATTTAGATAATTTCGATTTCATGTTATTTCCAGTAATGCTGTAGTGTACATCTGTGTACATAGTATGTTTTTTTGTACATGTGTATTTGTGTGAAATAGATTCCTAAAAGTATAATCACTTGATCTAAGGATATGTGGATGTAACAACTCCACAAAAGGTAATGATGGAGATTTGTTGTTTTTGTTACCGAAGACAAAAGTATCTCATTTTAATTTGTATTTTCTTCTTGCTAGCATCTTTGTGCTAACTGACTGTGTATATCACTCTTATGACTTGCCTACTTAGAGCCTGTCAGTTTTCATTTGCATTGTCTTCAAAATGATTAATGTATGGGACCTCCTTTGTCTATTATATGTACAGAAGGCACGTTACAGGTGGTTTTATCCCAGATCGTCATTTGTCTTTGCTGTTGTGTGATAGCCTGTATCATACAAAAGCTTTAAAGCTGGGGTCGAAGCAATTCATGTTATTCTTTCACAGCTTTTAGGGGTTTTATGTTGCCTAAGTAGGTCTTTCCTAATGTACATTGTTTTCTCAAAAAATTTTTTTTAAAGAATTACTTAATTTTATTTATTCATTAATTTATTTTGACCAGAGAGAGAGACACAGACACAGACAGATAGAGAAAGAGAGGGAAAGCGAGAAAGCAAGCCACTAGGTCCAGGACTCGAATCATGGTCAGCCATGTGGGAGTGTCCAGCACCTTAACCACACTGCACCTGCTGGTCCCTCCAAAACTTATTTGGTTTTTACCATAATTTTACGTATAGTGTAAGCTAGAGTTATGATTTTGTTTGGCCAACAGAGAGGCCATTGTTTCGTTAGTTTGCCGTTGACTTGCAAAGTTACCTTTTTATAAATTTAATTCTCGTGTATGTTAGTCTGTTTCTGGACTCTTCTTTTTCACTGCTCTGTTTATCTGTCCCTGTGCCATTAGCACAGCTTTGCTTTCTTTTATGTTGTAATAGAACGTTGATAGCTGGTTAGGGCAACTCTGTCTTCACTGTTCTGTCTAAAAAAGTGTTTCAGCTATTCTTGCAGTTTCTCCCCTGGGAACTTTAGTATTGGCTTATTGGGTTTTTTTAAACAATCAGCCTCTGTTGATGTTTTGATTCAGATATCACTGAACTTATAATACAGGGTCTTGGATTCAATCCAGAGACCTACCCTCTGGTCAGGTTATTTTTTAACAAAAAGGAAATGCTGTTTGAAGATCTAAGGTTGGGGGACCAGCAGTTAGTGTAATGGCTATGTTGCTGGACTCCCACATAGTTGGCTGTGGTTCACGTCCTGGACCCGGTGGCTTAAAACTCACGCCGGGCACGTGTGTGTGCCCAAGATCCTGAGAGGAGAATGGAGGAGAAGGGATTGTGGCATGGCCATCCCCCCGGGGGGTGATTTCTCGCTTTCTATCTCTGTCTCTCTCTGTCTGTCTGGTGAGTGCATGCACCCTATAGCAAACCGCCCCCCGCCCCCCAAAAAAAGATCTAAGGTTGGGTTCCAGTGGTGAGTATTGTTTAGAAAGCTGCTTAGGCGTGGTCTTTATGACCAACTGTACAAACCTAGAGGCCTAGCTCTGCCCTGGAGAGCTATAATGCATCCTAGCCATCCTTTGCTTCCCCGTAGTACACCAAGTGACGAGCTTTCTCATTGTCTTCTGAGTCAGTTGGTTAAAGTGAACTTTGGGCTGAGTTCATGCCACCATCACACACTGTTAACAACAAGGCAAAAGCACCTTAGGTACCTAATATTTAAATGTAACCTTAAAGTAGCCTTATCTTACTGCCAAACTAGGTGGAAGAATTATTTAATTGTGATAGTAACTAATCTTCTTTTATTTCAGAGGAATTCTTCAGTTGGATAAAGTAAATGTGTTTCCCGTGACAGCTATCAACTTATACCCAGAAGGTCCTGAGAAAACAGCAGAAAACCTTGAAGATAAAACGTGTATTTAAGACATCATTTCAAATCATGGACTTTGAATTAGTCTATTGGCCCCAGACTTGCCACTTAAATATAATTTTTTAAAATCATTAAGAATCAGTTTATACACTAGAGAAACAGCTAAACTTAAGACTGCCTGGAAATTGACCTTTACAGTGCCAAATTAATCTAACTCTATAAAAGGGCTATTGAGACTATGGACTGTTAACGAAAATGTAAACAAAGTGGAAGAGAAGACCTATGGAGAGACTTTAAAATTACCAGAAAAGGAAAAATAACAGGCAAGACAAAATGCCTTGTGCCAATAACTCTTTAAGGTGCCTTTGTTATGGAAATTATATCCACTTAATTACTATAATATATAAGACTTCATGAAAAAGCACTTTATGGAATTCTAATTTAAAAGCTCAAGAACTTAACACTTATTTTTTTATTGAGTACACTGTGCCTTTATATTAAGTATGTGACTCAGTATAAAAATCACTGAAGTTTATCATGATACAATTGTATCCTGTACCAAGGACTTACCTTAAACACACTAGGATTTAAAAGGAGCAGTGACATGTTCTCACTCTAAAATAAACTTTTTTTGAGGAATAATTATAGCTGTTTTTGGTTATAATTACATAAAAAATTCTTCTCTCATGAGAATTACCTACATACAGGTGTAAGAATAGCTTCTTTTACTTACACTGGCAGAAACCAAAGCTCAAATCAGTTAGAGTCCCCCGATCATGGAACGAGGACGTGTCCCTGGTCTTGTGACTCTAGAGTGCTACTTACCCTACAAGTGTTTGGGCTTTTTCAACCATTACTTATTCTGACGTTTTTGGAGGGAGGGGTGGGGGGGCCTGACGGCACATGTGGATCCCAGGGCGTGGGGCGTGGGAGAAAGTATCCCCAAAGAGGTGTGGTCACGCTGCAGTCCCTTCTTCATCCTGTCACCTTTCAGGATTTTGGGCACACAGGCACACGTGCCCAGTGTATTCCTGTCATCCAGCTAGGTGGGATCTAGCTCTCTTAACCACTCGGCTACAATGGTTAATGATATATTTTACAATGAAACTAACGCATATAACCTAAATTTACTCCATGTTACACTTCCTGTTGTTTCATTTTTTAAAATTTTTGGTTCCAGTTCATCATTTTGAAAACATTGTTAAAACAGCGAAGGTTTAGGGGCCAGCAGGTGGTGTGGTGATTAAGGCACTAGACTCCCACAGGGCCAACCGTGGTCTGAGTTATCGACCTCATGGCTTGTTTTCTCACTCTTCCTCTCTCTTGTCAAATTACAAATAAATAATTCTAAAAAAAGAAACATCGTTGAAGAAAGGAATGGCTTAGGGGCTGGCAGGTGGTGTGGTGGTTAGAAGTGCTAGACTTCCACATGGCCTACCATGGTGAGATTCCTGAACTGAGCAGCTTGCTTTCTCACTTTCCTTCCCTCTCGCTCAGTCTATCCCTCTCTGGTCAAATTAAAATAAATAAAGTTCAATAAAATAATTCTTAAAAAAAAAAGTGACTTTTTTCCCCCCCTTGGCCATGGGGTGTGTGCATGTGCATGCTCACCAGAGAAAGAGGGAAAGTGAGGACTTACTCCCCGGGGGGGATGGCTATGCCACAATCCCTTATCCTCCAGTCTCCACTACAGGGTTCTGGGCACACATGCACATGCATGCACCTAGAGTAGTTTATTCAAGCTGCTGGGTTCAACACTCGAACCATGAAATGGACCATGTGGGATCCAGCACCTTAACCTCCACACCACCTGCTGACCCAGTAATGGCTGTATTTTTTTTGTTAAGAATCTGATTTCACTTTATTTAAAATTTGATCAGAGAGGAAGGGGAAGAGAAAGCCAGGAAGCCAGGTCTGGGACTCCAACTGCAGTCACCCACATGGGAATCCAGTGCCCTTAACCACCATGCCACTGTAATGGCTGGTGTTTAAAACCACTTTATGTTTAGGTTAAATAGGTGACAGGTGGTAAAATGAGTAATGTTTCATTTTTTCTGTTTTTAATTAGCACATTTCACAGGACTATTATTCATATCACCCTACTATAGAAGAAATAATAACATGTAGTTTATAATTTCATCCTAAAGCCATCAGCTAGCAACACCCCATAACGTTAGAAAGCACCAGTTTCAATTCCAGATAATGACAGGGTCTTTTTTCATCCATGAACCATAGTTTATAGATTCTGAGGAGAAACATTAAGGATGGGGGGGGCTACATGGTCTATTGGAGAGCGTAGGCTTTGTAGTCAGTAGATCTCCCCCCCTCCCCAGCTTTTCTCCTTCCCAGAAGACTTGGAACCATAGCAGTGCTCAACCTCAAGGGTCTGTTTCTCTCCTGTGGTTGGGATGATAGAACAAGATAGAACAAGGCGGGGTTTTTTTTTGGAAAGGTTTTGTTTGTTTTTGCTATAGGGCACGTGCGCTCGCCAGACAGATACTGACAGACAGAAAGCGAGAAATCACCCCCCAGGGGGATGGCCGTGCCGCAATCCCTTCTCCTCCATTCTCCTCTTAGGATCTTAGGCACGCACGCACACATGCCCGGTGTGAGTTTAAGCCAAGGGGTCCGGGACTCGAACCGTGTCAGCTACATGGGAGTCCAGTGACATAGCCATTATGCTAACTGCTGGTCCCCAACAAGGTGTTTTTTAATGCTTTAAATTTTTTTATATTCACTTGTCAGAGGGCATGTGCACTTGACAGAGAAAACCAAAGGGAAAAAGCTCTTCCAATGGGACATGGTCATGTCACAATCTTTGCTAATTCTTCATCCTGTAGATATTTTGGAAATACACGTACACATGCCTTGTATTTTTCAAACGGTAGGGGCTGGGATTTGAACTGTTGATCAACTATGTGTGATCTGGCTCCCTTAAACAGGCTACAAGGCTGGCCCAAGTAATCTTCTATGTAAATCTTACCTAAAATGTTATCCTATTAACTGTTTTTTGTTTTGTTTTGTTTTTTAAAAAAAGGTTTTTGTATTAGGGTATATGCACTTGCCAGGGAGACAGACGCCATGAGAAGAAAAGTGAAAAATCACCCCCCAGGACGATGGCCACGTTGCAATCCCTTCTCCATTCTCCTGGGATCTTAGGCACACACGTACATGTGCTCAATGTGATTTTCAAGCCACCGGGTCCAGGACTTGAACCACAGTTGGTCATATAGGAGTCCAGTGATGTAACTGCTATGCCATCTGCTGGTCCCTGCATTAACTGTTAATTTAGTTATGCCTAGTGTCCATTAGTTCATGAGTGATTAGAATACAATGAGCAGCATAGGTTTAGAAATACCTACTTACCCATAATACAGCCTCTTGTGTAAGTAGCATAAAGTTAGGCAAGACTGAATGTATATGTTTTTCCTTCCTTAAATGCACAGTGAGATGAAGAGTCTGTAAAGCTTGCCCAGGGAGAGGAGGGAAGCTATCATACTGGGTGGCAAGGAACATTGGACCTGGCACTTCAGGAGCTACAACCAGTCTCTCTCTCTCCTTCCTAGAAGGAACAGATGTGGGTGAGAAGCTACTAAGAGGGGTCTATCTAAAGACGGCTTTGCAAGCTAATATCATTTCTCTTTTTTAAAAAATTATTTTATTTAACTTTATTCATTTATCCATTTTTAATTTGAACAGAGAGGGACAGAGTAAGAGAGAGAAGGAAAGTGAGAAAGCAAGCCGCCAGGTCCGGGACTAGAACTGTGGTCAGCCACGTGGGAGTCCAGCACCTTTAACCACCATGCCACCTGCTGGCCCCAAGCTAATCTCATTTCTAACAACTGTGGTCTACGAAATAGAATAATAAACAAATTTGCAGCTTAAAAGTTACCTTTATTCAAAATCATAAAGGTTTTTTAAATCTTATTATGAAAGTTTAAAAAAATATAGCACTCAGTGCAATGAAATACTACATTTAATTATTCAAACTTGTAAGACAGATTTCTCACAGTTTACATGTGAGAATTTAGCATGATCCAAACTCAAATATCCATTTCTCATATCTTTCAATATCTGCAGCAGATACTGACTTAGAAACCTTTTTTAAAGCCATTTCAAAATCTTCCATAGTTGTAGGCATGTGCATTTCTTCTCTTGAAAGATTTCGTATTTCTTCTGGGGTCAAACCTTCAATACGCCTTCTCATTGCCATCAAGGATGCATCCCTAGGTTTTAAGTTAGGGGGAAAAAAAGGAGAAAAACCACAAAGCGTTATTTTGATAGAATGTCAACAGTAGAATTTCCAGTGTGCGTATTGTAACATTCTGTAATTATCATCTTAGTACATATATGTAGGGAGTACCATGCAGACTCTGGATACAAGACCTGTTCTTTTTTTTTTTTTTTGGAGAGGTTTTCGCTATAGGGCGCGTGTGCTCACCAGACAGACAGAAACATACAGACAGAAAGCAAGAAATCATCCCTCAGGGGGGATGGTCACGCCACAATCCCTTCTCCTCCAGTCTCCTCCCGGGATCTTGGGCACACACGCACAGGCGCCCAGCATGAGTTTTAAGCCACCAGGTCCAAGACGCGAACCGCGGTCGACAATGTGGGAATCCAGCGACACAGCCATTACGCTAACTGCTGGTTCCCAAGACCTGTTCTGAGTTGTTTTTTGTGGTTAAATCTTTCAGGGTGAAATAAGAGTGTAAATCTACTTTAATAGTACTGAGCATAGAGACCAAGAAAAACTGAAAGGTACCATTAAGAAACTAGCGATTGAATTTTAAGTGTTCAATAAAATACAGAACAAGCATCACAGATAGAATAGAACCTGTTGGCTAGAAAATTAAGTATTTTTCCCTAGGTGATCAAGGATGTGGCTTCTCCTTTTTCCTTCTGTGAGGGGATTTAAAGTTTGTGGGAAAATAGAATTAAAGTATAAGTTTATTTTTGTGCAAAGTATTCTGAAATCCATAGTTTTTTTTTTTTGGAGAGATTTTCACTGTAGGGCGCGTGCGCTCGCCAGACAGACAGAGACATAGAGACAGAAAGCGAGAAATCACCCCCCGGGGGGATGGTCACGCCGCAATCCCTTCTCCTCCATTCTCCTCTCGGGATCTTGGGCACGCACGCACACGCGCCTGGCGTGAGTTTTAAGCCACCGGGTCCGGGACACGAACCGTAGCCAACTACGTGGGAGTCCAGC